TAGTGCCTCTTCATTATTGATTGTTTTCAAAGTATTACTATTTCCTTCTCAGTTATTCTTTCCATTAAAATTCAGAAATCCCCTTTCAAGTAATCAAAAAATAATTCCCTAGCACATTTCATGCAACTTGATGGCCAAGGTGGTTGGGCCTGATGCCTTATTGTCTGTGGTGTGGAAATAGTACCTCTTAGGTTACTTTTAAGATTTCTTTGGGGGTTTATATCTCTTTTAAGGTTTGCTCTTTTTTCAGCCTGTCTTTGTAAATTATAGTTCCAAGATTCATGTTTGTCATTTAAATTTTTAATTAATTAGTGTATTTTTGTACGTCTTTAAGTAAATTTGTTTTAATGCCATCTCAGGAGATGAAGGGCAGTGATATTAACATCTGTGTGTCTAGGCTTAGGCACAAGTTTGATTCCTGGCTCAGCTGCTGTGAACTTTGAGAAGAAAATGTTTATAAAGCCATCAAGTTACAAGTAATCAAGTTGTCCGTTTTATGCTAGGAGTGTTTCTGTTGTTGTTGCTTTCAAAATACACAAGTTCTTGCCAACAACTGCCTCAGATGATGGTGGTATCAGTTCTTGCTCCACACATATGACAGGTACCTGAGACTTGAACCCCAAACTACATGCCAGCATTGCGTGGCTTCTCGCTGTCCTCTCCAAAAGCTTGGCCAAGCCACCCCCTGCTCATCAGGACCACTCTTCAGGGTTCTAGGCACTGAGGATTAAATAGAATCACCACGCTGTTCACCAACATTCTGTATCTTACTCTTCGCTCTCATATAACTCAACTACAGCCCGTACATATCCCCGAGTCAACCAGCTGTTTTCTTATAACCCCTGGATTTTCAAATCTCTGAGATGCCTTTGCCTTAACATGAGACCATGCAAAGTTGGGGATTTGATCTGTATTATAATCCAGCCATCCACAGGATTAGACTTTGGGTTTAGTTTTCAGAAACCTCAACTCAGTGGTGGAGGGAGATAAGGGATTCTTTTAGGACAGTTGTAAAAGCTTTCTATCCCTTACCTTGACTTTGAGCTGAGAATTTGAAGCCCTGAGCTCTTCTTTCTGTACTTCAAAGCAAGCAACCAACCAACCTTTTAAATTTTCACTAAAATGATCTATGGCAGTAACTATATGGTTGGTCATCTAGAACCTTACCTCAGAGACGCTTCAGTACAGGTATCTTGATTACAGGTGTTGTGTTGGTCCCAGCCTGTCGAAGGTAATGTTCTCAGCTAGGAACACCCGAGGCTCTCGCCAGGCCCATATTACTTGTAGGGAGCCCCAGACATTTCCCCCAGGAGGGCCAATGTTGTGGCTGGACTGGATGTTGTTACTTTGATTTCAGGATGCACTTTGGGGAAAACCATCGAGGCATTTTGAAAAACAAGACTAATTACAAGTCTCAGCATGCCAAGGCCACAGAGCAAGGTCACAGACAGAGAGAACACAGACCTGGGGCTCTGCCTTTATTAGGGTCTGAGGATGGGGTCTCTGGGGTTTCATAAGGTCACTCTATAATTTGAAGCGTAACAGTGCAAATCAGGTCACGGGAGACTGGAGGCAGGGTCACTCAAGAAGCATCAGTCATTCTTTTTTTTTTTTAAGATGTATTTATTTTAGAGGGAGAGAGAGAGAGAGCGTGTGCATGGAGTGGGATAGACAGAGGGAGAGAATCTTTAAGCAGACTCTGCACTGGGCAGGGAGCCCAACACAGGGCTCGATCTCACAACCCTGAGATCATGACTTGAGCCAGAACCAAGAGTCAGATGCCCAACCGACTGAGCCACCCAGGCACCCCAAGGAATGCCAGTTTTCATGGCTACCCAGTGTCTGCGGAAAGGAGAACTTCATGGGTGTGGGGGTGCCTAGTTCCTTACCTGCTTATTTTACTAGTAACTGAGTCATACAGCTTTTAATATGTTTATCTGGAGTGGATGTCTTTTGAAATGGAGGCCTTGGCAATCGATGCTTAACATCAGACATTACAACAGGCAATAATAACTTTAGTCACCGGTGTGCCACGGCCCACCACAGACAGCCGTTGTCTCCTCCACCATCAGAAACAGGGGCGTGAATGCAGTTGAACCTGGTCACATCAGAGAACCCGGTCCAGATTCCTATCCTTCAGATTCTGTTCCCTGGAACCACTCACCGTACCAGCACTGTCTATCTGTCTGAATTCAGCCAGGGAAGCAGAACCACTCTGAGGATGCTGGGGTAAGGGACTGCTCATAAGAATCGGAACTTGGGGCACCTGGGTGGGGGGCTCATTCGGTTAAGGGTCAGGCTGTTGATTTCGGCTCAGGTCATGATCTCAGGGTCCTGGGATCGAGCCCCACGTGAGGCTCCGCGCTCAGCGAGGACTCTGCTTGAGGATTCTCTCTCTCCCTCTGCCTTCCCCCTGCTCGCATGCTCTCTTTCCCAAATAAATAAATAAATCTTAAAAAAAAAAAGAAAAAAAAAGAACCGGACCTTCTACAACTGCTTCACTTCCGCCAACCAAATCTCATGCCAAGTGCTTCCCTGGCCAAGTCTAACCCCAAAGCATGCAGGGCGAGGGCTTCTGAGGAAGCTAGCTCTAGTGTAGTGGAATAAACCACCGCAAGATCCATGCAGCGGATTTTTTTTTTAAAGATTTTATTTATTTATTCATAAGAGACAGAGAGAGAGAGAGGCTCCCCACTGAGCAGGGAGCCTGATGCAGGACTTGATCCCAGGACCCTGGGGTCATGACCTGAGCCGAAGGCAGACGCTTAACCATCTGAGCCACCCAGGTGCCCCATGCAGTGGATTTTAAATGAGATGTTTACATGAATGAGTTGGAAAGGAATTAGGAAGATTTTTCAGGGAAATTATGATTAGAATCCTGACACTTACACATGTTCGATTGCTCACAAAGTATTTTAATGGACGTTCTAGAACTTGATCTTCGGCGCTGACCTTCGGAATGATGTCCATTTCCTAGTCGAAGAAACTAAGTGATAGATTAAGAGAGTGGCCTGATGGCACGTGGTTAATAAGGCAGAATTGGTCTGAGGTCTAGCTTACCCGCTTCCAAACGTTTATGCTCTGTTCTGGACACGGCAATAGAGTGCTCCTGGCCCCCCTTCTTGATCGGTGTAGATGAGTCTCTGAGAACCGTGCCCTCATTCTCTCTGATAATCTCATCTCTCCCTCCCATCATTTTACACATGTGTCTTGATATTTCCTCCCTCCGTACTTAGTTTTTCATTCATTCTCCCGCAAAATGTCTACTAACTTATAAAATTCCCCCTTTTCTACAGAACCCCTCACCCCCTCTTGTCACACACCTTGCTGATCTCCTGACATCGTTCCCAAAACTCTCTCTCACAGATCTTCTTCCATGGAAACATGTAACTTTTTGTTACAGAAAAGTCTAAAGATTTGGGTTCTAATTCTGGACTTAACTTTCCCCTAGGCCACAATTTTCCCTCTAGGCTTTAGGCTCCTCATGTCTCAGATGTGGGTTGACTAGGATCCTGTATGTGAGACCACTTTGTAAACTCTAAAGCACTAGAGAAATGCCATTAGTTGTTATCCTTTCTTGTGGGATTCTCAAATGAAAAAGTTGATGCTGAAGGATCCACCGAATACAAAATATTGCTTGAATTTGTTAACAGGAGCAGCAGAGTCCTTGAATGGAATCAGCCTGGAGTGGACCCCGAGGAAGTTGTGCATACCAGAGGGGCAGGTACTGACAGCCGGCTGGGCGGAAAGTGGGTAAAAGGAAAACACTAGGGAATAATTCTCCCTGCCTGCCCTGGTTTGGGTTCCCTGTGTGGGATGGCTTCTATCCAGGCCTGGGTCTCTAGCCCTGGGGCGTATGGATCGTCCAGAGTGAGTCAAGGCCAAGGTTTAATCCGGTATTGGCAAATGCTGAAGAATAAGGGGTTTTGAGTCTCCTAGGTCTGATTTGAATCCATATAAACTGTGAAATGGCCAGGTCACCCAATTTCTCCGTCCCTCAGACTGCTAGCTACAACATAGGGGGGACAGGAAGGTGGAAGGTAATTTACAGCATTTGTGAAAACCTATACTTAGATATAAAAGGTTTTGCTCAAGGGTGCTCAATGAATTCTGCTTGCAGGAAGAAATATTTCATAATATTAGTTCCCTCAGCACAAGGAACATAGCTTACTCATTGACGCAACCCCAGACCTTGCTCAATGCCAAGACACACTATGGCCACAAGAAAAATCTTCCGAATGAATAAATGGACGATACAGTAAATAAAGAGGTCACGAGGCTAAAAGTGATAGCAGGGGGAGCCAAAAGCAAAAATGTCATCTGGCCTTAGGTGTGCAGTTGGTGAGGTTGTGGTGTCCTGCCTTCTCTGAACCATAACTTGTCATGGAAAACAGTGCATGTATGTAGAAGACCATTGGCATTTTCTCTCAAGATGAGGGCACTTGAGTGGGTTTTTTATGTCTAAGAGACCTTAGATTTACCTTTCCTATGAACTATCTCATCATAGTCTTTGCCCATTTTTAAACTAGATTGTTGTTTTTTCTTATTGATTTTGAGGAGTTCTTTATATATGTGGAAAATTAACCCTTTGTTATATGAAGAGCTATTATTTTTAGCATTCTATTTGTGTTTTATTTATGGCTTTATGTTCGTGACATCATACATAGAAAGACCACCCCAAAGCTGAGATTAATCTTTAAAAATACTTTTCCATGCTAACTTATGTATTGCATGGATTCCCATGCCTTATGTTTAGGCCTCTGCATCATTTGGAATGGATCCTGATTTGAGAGGATGGCTCTCTATGTCCTACCCTCCTCTGGAGTGCTGCTTTCTACATACTCCAACATGGCAGCTTGCGTCATCCAAGCGTGCAAGCCAGCAATTGAAAGAGGCTGCTATTAAGACAGAAGTCACAGTCTTTTGTAACCTAATCATGGAAGTGACATCCCTTCACATTTGCCATATTCCATTGGTTAGAAGCAAGACACGAAGTCAGGCCCACACTCAAAAGTAGGAACTTACACAAGGGCGTGCCTCCCATTTTTCTTATTTCTCACAGGAAAACTCACTCAGAGCATGTCCCCATAGAGCAAGGTGCATGGACGTTTCTCCAAGAAGGAGACTGTCTGTAGTCTCTCCCCAGGGTGAGAGGCCACTCGGCTCTGATCGCACTGTCTGCCATCTCCAGGGTGGTTACCTAACTAGCCTTGCTAAATCTTTATTCATAATGTGGGGTGGTAACTCAAGTATGCCTGGCTCCAGAATCTAGAAAACATATTCTTTGGCTCTGGAAACCATGGAAGATGTGAACCCAAAATCCTGGGAAACAGGTCTGTTTTTCTGGGTGTGTGGTGTTTGGTTCTGGTTTACAGAATGCAAATTTAAAACATGTGTGAAGACAAAAGGAAAGGTCAGGGGTTTGAAGGCAACCTTTGTGGGGAAAACAACTTCTATACGATATATACGTGGGTGGATGTGGGTGTGGAGAGGCCAGGCAGAGATACCCAAGTGGCCCCAGCTGCCATTCATCTGCCTTAAAATGTTCTTCTTCTGACGAAACTCAGCCCAGAAATCCGCTGCTGCTCCTGCTGCCCTCTGGATGCTCTAATCAATCAACTGTACCGGCAAGACTTCTCAGATGCAAACGCTGAGGAGCGTTAAGTGGCTTCTGATCTGAGGTCCAGCACTGCCAGAGAAGGAGAGGCCGGAGCTCAAATGAAAGTAAGCCCTTGACTCGGAGGAAATGATTCTTCCTGCCACAGGAAGAGCCAGTACATCCTGAGGAAGCCACGTGTGTTTTGTGGAGTCTGAGCTTCGCCTGGCCCAGCGGGGGAGAGAGTGAATTTGCAATATTCAGGGATGGAGCGTGTGTCTGAGGCTTTTACCTGAATCCAATCCAGGCTCCAGGGGAGAAGATTTATAGGGGTGATGAAGAGAGTTGGTGTTCCTGTCCACAGATAGAGACACACAGGAAAGAAGCCACGTGGCCGGTGTGGAACTGAATACTCCCTTCACTTAGATGCAGGCCCGCATGCTTGGCATGGTCTGTTCTGTGGTCAGTGTGGGCACATGTTTAGGCTGAGAGTGACTGGGGATTCTGCTAAAGAGATGACAGGCAGGCAGTGAGAGGAAGGGTGGTGTTAGTTGTCTACTGCTGTGTAACAAATTACCCCAAGACTTAATGGCTAGAACAACACATGTGTATTATTCCCCCAGGTTCTGTGGGTCAGGAGTCCCGGCATGGCTTAGCTGGGTGCCCTGCTCTGGGTCTCTCCTGCAGCTGCAATGGAGTTGCCAGCCAGGGCTGATGTCTCCTCTCTTGGCTCAACCAGGAAGGAGCCACTTTCTGGTTCATTCTTTTCTCCTGGGCTGTCGGACTAAGAGCTTCAGTTCTTCATTGGCTGTCAGCCGGAGGCTGCCTTTGGGTCCTTCTCTCCAGTGTGGTAGCTGTATCATCAAAGTGTTTAAGCCAAGAAGGCACTTGAGAGAGTCTGCTAGCAAGACAGAAGTTGCAATATCTGTAATCTAATCACGGGAGCGACATCACATCACCTTTGCCATGTTCTGTTCATTAGAAGCCAGTCACAAGGTCACGTCCACCCTCAAGGAAGGTAATTACACCAATGACAGGTGGGGGTGGGCATTGCACGCCCTCTTAGAAGTTGGCCTTCCACAGGAGAGGAAGAATCTGCAGGAAAATACCTATTCTTTTTCTTTTTAAGATTTTATTTATTTGTCAGAGAGAGAGAGAGAGAGAACAGCAGGGGAAGCAACAAGGGAGAGGAAGAAGCAGGCTCCCCGCTGAGCGGCGAGCCCGATGCGGGGCTCCATCCCAGGACCCTGGATCATGACCTGAGCCGAAGGCAGATGCCCAACCGACCGAGCCACCTAGGCACCTGGGAAATACCTATTCTTGAGAACTATTTAAGGAGATAAACTTTTCAATGAATTAAATGGCAAAGAAGAAAAGTTATAAAAATGCCAATCATTCTAAAACACATTAGGGCCGATTTCCTGATAGTTTATAAGCACTGAACTTAATTTCTAATGAGGTGGCCCTGTAAAAATAGTAAATAATGAAAAATAGGTAACTGGCCTGTAATTAATTGAAACCAGATGTTCCTCACCACCACCCCACACCTGGTCAAATTCAGAGTATTGTCCCCAGGGGAGAGCCTGAGAGTGTTCCAGTTACCTATGACCCCATAACAATAAGACAAAGTTTAGTGGCGTAAAACAACCTTTGTATTGCTTACAGATCTGCAGTTTGGACAGGGAGGTTGACTCATGTCGGCTGGAGTTACTCAGTAGGGTTGGCTTATGGCTTATGTCGGCTGCACTCAGCATCAGCTGGGGCAGCCTAAAGACTGGGAGCTGGAACCCTCTCCAGGTTCTCTCATTCACATGTCTGCAATTGATGCTTCCTCCCAGCGGGGGCGCTGTGGCCAGGACACCTACCAGCAGCCCTTTTATGTGGCTGCTAGAGCTTCCTCACAGCATGGTGCCTGGGCTCCAGGGATGAGCATCCTGAGAGGAACTGAGGCAGGGTGTACTGCCTTTTATGACTTAGCCTCAAAAGACTCCTAGTGTCATCCTTACCATAGTCTTGGGCCCTCTGGACTCGGGGAGGGGATGTAGATCCCGCATCTTGATGGAGGAGTGTCTCCATCGTAAGAAGATCATTTTGTAAGAAGGCCACGTAGGATGGGATTCATCTTTGGAAAATACGGTCTGCCACAGAGAGCAAACTAGCCCCCACGCCATCCTTGAGCTTTCATGTCAGTGACACAGAGCTCATAAGGTGAACAGAAGTGTGTAGTCGTGAGAAATAAGAGCAGGTGTAATGCTGATAAATAAATACAATCAGGCACCTGGGTGGTGCAGTTGAGTGTCCGGCTCTTGGTTTTGGCTCTGGTCTGACCTTAGGGTCATGGGATGGAGCACCCCCATGCCGGGCCCCTTGTTGGGCTCCATGCTGAGTGTGGAGTCTGCTTGGGTTTCTCTCTCCCTCTCCCTTTCCCTCTGCCCGTCCTCTCCTCTCTCTCTCTCAAATAAGTAAATAAAATCTTAAAAAAAAAACAACAACAATCCTTTCTCCCTCTTCTCCCATTGAGTGGGAGACTGGGAATAGATCCATGAAAGACATTGTACAGGGCCAATGTGCCAAGCCTGTGGGCTTGAGAGTCTCACTTGGCCTATTACCGTAAAGCCTATAAAACTTCCTGTATTACTTTTCTATTGCTGCATAACAAATTACCACAAATTTACAAGCTTAAACAACACCCATTTATTACTTCGCAGTTTTGTAGGTCAGGAGTCCAGACAGGTTTGCACGCAGGTTATTGCAACGCTGAAATGAAGACGTCAGTGGCCAGGCTCTGGGGAAGAATCTAGAAATACTCTAGACGTTCAATTTATTGGAGGAGGCTTCCAACATCCGTTCTTCTCCGCTGGGTGCGGCTAGGGAGGTTTTGACCACCAGAGGGCGCAAGAACCACGAGCCCTGTCGCCCGAGTTCCAGCTCCCCTCGGCCACCGCGGTCCAGGTACCAGCAGCATCAGCGTCGCTTGGGAGCTTGTTGGGACAGTGGAATCTCAGGCCCCCAAACCAAACCTGCTGAATCAAAATCTGCGTTTTGTCAAGACCCCCAGGCAATGCGTGTGCACATGAAAGTTCGATGGGCTCTACCTCTCGGTGGTTCTCACTCTTGGCTGCATGTTAGAATCACGGGGGGGGGGGGGGGGGGGGGGGGGGGGGGGTGAAACCTCCTGATGCAAGAGCTCCCTTCCTCCCAGAGAGTCTGATTTTAACACCCTGAGGCCAGAGTGTTAAAGGCTCCCCTGAGGATTTTCACGTGCATCCAAGGATGAGATTCTCTACAAGTCTAGCTCATTCCCGACTGTAGAGAACCTTGCGTAGGACCAGAGCTGTGCCGGAAGTGGGGCACATCGCCCGGGTGTAGCCATAGGCCAAGGACGCAAAGCCCCAGCCTCAGGGCTCTCCTGGGATGCAAGACCAGCCCTCTGGGACCCCCCGGGTTATAGTGAAGTCGGGGCCAATGTGACACACTGAGGAAGTGTGCTCTCATATTCGAAGTGCTTCTAAGACCCGATTCAAACAGACAGAAATTCTAGTTCCCCTGCCTCCTTCTTGGTCGGTGCTCCCTGATCATGATGCTGCCTCCTGGTTGCCACCTTGAAAGCAGGAAACGTGTTGATTCTCCCCTGCAGAGTGTCTGCTCAAGGAAGCACCATCCACAAGGCTAGTGACCCGGGCAGCCCCCCTGCTGGTGGTGGACCCGCCACCCCCCTCCCAGCTGATGGTGGAACCTGTGAGGGGGAGTTCAAGAAAGAAGGTACCTGGAGGACAGAGGAACTCAGCCGTGTTAGGAGGGACTTTTTTAAAAAAAATCTTTTTCTTTTTTTTAAAAGATTTTATTTATTTATTTGAGAGAGAGAATGCGATAGAGAGAGAGAGCATGAGAAGGGGGAAGGGCCGAGGGAGAAGCAGACTCCCCACGGAGCAGGGAGCCCGATGCGGGACTAGAACCCGGGACTCCAGCATCATGACCTGAGCCGAAGGCAGTCGCTTAACCAACTGAGCCACCCAGGCGCCCCAAAAATATCTTTTTCTTTGGGAGGCAGAGGAGGGAAGAGAGAGGAGAATCTTCAGCAGGCTCCACGCCCAGCATAGAGCAGGAGGTGGGGCTTGGTCTCAGGACCCTGAGATCATGACCTGAGCTGAAATCAAGGATCGGTTGCCCAACCAACTGAGCCACCCAGGCACCCCTAGGAGGGACTTTTAAAAACCTTCTTCCCCATTTAAGAGGTGTTTTGCAATCCCAATGCCCTTTTAGGTACACTACTTTATTTTCACTGTACCTAGACCCACGCCGCCTGAGCTGAGACTAGGTTAAGGACACAAATGTGGGAAACAGAGTGACAGAGAGGTGAGTGGATAAGCTAAAGTTTGCCAGGATGAGTCAGGCAGAATTAGGACAAGAAATCACTTTATGAAATGTCCTCATTTGCTAAGTGCTATTTCCAGGATGTGGCAATATCTGACTTCTGACTGTTCTTTCTTCACTGTTCCGGAGCATTTCTGGGGACTTCAGTGTTGTCCTTCCTTCTCCATTCTCCTTCCCCAAAATGAGGGTTTATTTTTTCATTCTAGAATTCTCAGTTAATCTCCTATTAAATGTCCACTGACTTCTATGATTTCTCATGTTCAGTAGAAGGTTCACCAAGTGTTCGGTAAATTCTCAATATATGCTAACAATAACGATAACGATTTCATTATAGCTTTCTTGAATGCAAGGAACTGATTTCCTGTTGTATCTCCAGGATTTTAACAAAATATTTGAGGAATGAATGAATCACGAATCAAGTGGAGGGATTTGCCAAGTTAAATGGAGGTGGGGGGAGCAGAGAGAGAAAAACAATCCAGCCTTGGGCGTGCAAGTGCCGTGGTGGGCGCGGGCCAAGCTCTACCCCAGAACCCTGAGGGATGGCATGTGTAGACACACTGTTAACACCATGGAAGAGAGCTGGGTTCGTCTTCTCAAATAATGGCCAATGCTCTGCATCCTACACCCTTTTCCTGTTCCTCTCTATGGTGCAGAAAAAGGAAGTTAAAGTCTGGATGTATTTCCTGCTCACATGAAATGCTGTAAAGTTTTTTTTTTTTTTTAAGATTTTATTTATTTATTTGAGAGAGAGAGAGAGAGGGTGAGCCCAAGCAGAGGGGAAGGGAGAGGGAAAGCGAGAATCTCAAGCAGACTCCTCGCTGAGCATGGAGCCCCATTTGGGGCTCGATCTTGTGACCCTGGGATCGTGACCTGAGCTGAAACCAAGAATCTGATGACGCTCAACCCACTGAGCCACCCAGGCGTCAGTGCTGTGAAGTTCTTTGAAGAGTTCAGGGAACATCCAGATGTTGACTCTATCAGTAGGGCCTTCTAGCTCTTTCTTCTGTCAAGTGCCTTACTCCTTTTGGGTAGAAATCCTTCTCCTTCCTGGGTCCCCAAACAACCCCCCGCCACCCAGATGTTTGAGGAGGGACATGGAACAATGTGCTCTGCCTTCATCCCATGTTTCTGCTCTGAGGCTCCACCTCAGGTCCCTCTCCCTCGACCCACTACACTTGCCCTTCCCCCATTGCTTCCCTCCCACCATCTCCCACATCCCAGTGAAAGGAAAGAGAAGCTTTGTTTCTCTATTCACAGATCGCGGGAGGAAGCTTCCATGAGTGCATGGGTGAAAAGACAGAGTATTATGACCAGAGAAGTTTAAAAATGCATAATAATATTTATGTACATTATTAATAGTTCCATCACATGGATTCTTAGAATTAAAATTATTGGGCTGAACAAATGCAGACCTTTTAAATTTTTATGTTGATCAAAGTTATACATACACATAGTAGAAAAGATAAAATAATTCGGCATGTAGTTGTCTTCTCCACCTCATGCCTTCTCATCCTTGATTCTACTCTCCAGAATCAACCACTCTCTTTTAGTGGACACTTCTGTTTTAATCTTCATGTTTACCAATAGAAAGTTTATGCAGTCTTGATTTTTTTAGCTGTATATATTACCCATTGACTTTTTACTGGATGATGAATTAGCTCTTACACATATAATTACATACTACACACATCCTTTCCCACACACCAATATCCTTCCCTTCCATCCAACCTCCCAGGGTTGTTATTTCATAATCTTTATGAAAACAACATTCAATGATTCTATGATTATGATTGGAAAAATGTTAGTCAGAGCTGAGCTATGTAGTGTGCTGTGATTTACATCTTGTCCCCATGCAAGCTTTTTGTTTTTCTTTATAACTGGAGTTAACATTTGCCTTTTTTCCCCCTTTGAATCATTTAACCTCCAACATCTCTGTTCTTCTGCTCCAATCTGGATTGGCTTCTCTTTCACAGGCTGCAGAATTCTCTCACTGGGACTTCCCCCTTCACCATCTTGCTAGGTTGATTCCTCCATTTTTTCCCTCCGGGTTTATTCCCTTGTTTTTTGGTGGAACTATCTTCTAGAAGCTTCTTGAGAAAGAGTGCTTGGGAGGCAATTTTTTGAGACATCATATGTCTGAAAATGTCTAATCCCATTTCCTACTGATTGATAGTTTGGTGTTCTTCCAACTATAATCCTTCAACTGTATTTTTTTTTTCTTTCTGGAAACTTTTAGAACTCATGTTCTGAAGTATCATTATTGTATTTTAACAGTTGTGCTCCACACTCTGTAGGTCCCTTCCAATTTTCAGTTGTGGGATTTTTCTTGTAATATTTCTTTAATAATTTCTTCACTACTGTGTTTTCTGTTTTCTCTTTTTTTGGAATTTCTGGAATTATCCTTTAATTTTCTTATCTTTTACTATCCATTATGTCTTGTATTCTACTTTCTAGGAGTTTTCCTTTTGGTTTAACACTGACAGTGTATATATCATTCATCAGTTAAAGGAGGTGCTTTTCTATTCCCATATTACTATGAGTTTTTAATCGTGAATCAAGGTAGAATTTTTTGGAATGCTTTTTTTTGCATCTTTTGATCTCTTAATATATTGAATTACATTTATCAATTTTCTTTGTTAAACCATCCTTGCATTCATAGCATAAACCCAACTGCAGGATTCAGTCTGCTCATATTTTGTTTGGGATTTTTTGCATCTATGCTTATGAGTGTAATTTTCCTTTCTCATATGAGATTGCATATTTTAGTATCAAGGTAATGCTAGCCCTATAAAATGAGTTGGGAGAGGGGTGCCTGGGTGGCTCTGTCCTTAAGCGTCTGCCTTCAGCTCAGGTCATGATCCCAGGGTCCTGGGATTGAGCCCCGCATCGGGCTGTCTGCTCAGCAGGAGGCCTGCTTCTCCCTCTCCCACTCCCCCTGCTTGTGTTCCCTCTCTCACTGTCTCTCTCTCTGTCAAATAAATAAATAAATAAATAAATAAAATCTTGAAAAAAATAAATAAAGTGAGTTGGGAGAGCCTCTTCGCTTTTCTTTCTGGAAAATAGTTTGTATAAAATTGGAATTACTTTTTCCTAGTATGTTTGGCAGAACTCACTGTTAAAAACCATTTGGCCTGTGTTTTTGGGTGTGTGGTCTGATGGGAGAGTTCAGGGAGCAGCGCCAGTAATTAAACTTTTTTTTTTAAAGTAAGTTCTTTTTTTTTAAAAGATTTTATTTATTTATTTGAGAGAGTGAGAGAGACAGAGCACAAGCAGGGGGGAGGGGTAGAGGAGAGGGAGAAGCAGACTCCATGCTGAGCAGGAGCCAGATGCGGGACTGGATCCCAGGATCCCGGGATCGTGACCTGAGCCGAAGGCAGACACAACCAACTGAGCCATCCAGATGCCCCTAAACTTATTTTTTTTCAAAGATTTTATTTATTTATTTGACAGAGAGAGAGAGAGAGAGCACAAGTAGGCAGAGAGGCAGGCAGAGAGAGAGGAAGAAGCAGGCTCCACTGAGCAGGGAGCCCAATGCGGGGCTTGATCCCAGGACCCTGGGATCATGACCTGAGCTGAAGGCAGATGTTTAACCGACTGAGCCACCCAGGCGCCCCCCTAAACTTTTTTTTAATTTAAAAATTTTCACCAGTAATTAAATTTATTTCATTTACTTGTTATATGACCATTTATATTTTGTATTTCTTTTTTTTCAAGATTTATTCATTTATCTGGAGGGGGGGATGGGGCAGAGGGAGAGAGAGAGAGAATCTGAAGCAGATTCCGTGCTAAGCATGGAGCCTGACCTGGGGCCCGATCACACAACCCTGAGATCACAACCTGAGCTGAAACCAAGAGTTGGCTGCCTAACTGACCGAGCCACCCAGGCACCGCTATATTTTGTATTTGTTATTGAATTATAGTTTTTTCCTGGAAATTAGTCCATTGCATCTAAGTTATCAAATATGTTGACAAAAAGTTGGCCATAATATACCCTGTCATTTTAATAACTGTAGCATCTGTATCTTTGTTCCTTGTACTAATTTTTAATTTGGAATGTTTGTGCCTTCTCTCTTTGTTTTTTCCCTAATCAATCTTTCCAAAGTTTTGTCATTTTATTTTTTCAAGAACGAACTTGTGACTTTTAATCTTCTCTATTGTATCCTGGTTTTCTATTTTAATTTTCTTCTCTTACCTTTATTATTTCCTTTCTCATATAGTCTCAGGATTTATTTTCCTATCTCTTTTCCATCTTTTAATTTGGTTGCTGACTTCATTAAATAGCATTTAAGGCTATAATTTTCTTTCAGGTTTTTATATGTGGCATTTTCATTATTGTTAGTTCTGTATATTTTCTAATTTCTCTTATGGTTTCTTCTTTGACTAGTGAATTATTTTTTTTAAAGATTTCATTTATTTATTTGACAGAGAGAGAGACAGCGAGAGAGGGAACACAAGCAGGGGGAGTGGGAGAGGGAGAAGCAGGC